CCATTTACCATTCCATTTATTAGGTATGTATGATTGTTAAAAATGATATAAAATACATTATATTGACAGAGAATTGTAAAAAAAAATCTCAGGAAAACTTATCTCTCATTCACAGGAAATAATCAGCTCAAAATTCATCCAAATCTCTAGTTTTACACAAACTTCCTGCAGTTATTGTGTTCCCTGTTTTGGTTCATTGTACAGTTTATCTGTTGTTCTCTACTGTTATTGTTATTATTACATATGATATGAAATATCCATAAAATATGTCACAGTCAGGGGTAATTGGTTTACTCAGTGGTCCCTTAAAGAAAAGGGTTAGGAACCACTGCACTAAGAGATAACTCCTGCAGTGGAAACGGTATTACCAAACATATTTCTACTGTTGCACCATATATACCAGGGTCCAAAATGAGTACTTGCCAAATGTGAGTAAAACTCTACACGAGCAAACCAAATAAAAGGGGTCAGTCACCATTGGTGGGTTGCTGAAATAGGCCTACTTCACATCATCACCACAACACATGAGTTCATTAACTAAGGTTTGTTTTTCATCAACTCTTTTTTTTTTCAGTTTGCGAGCCATTGGCAGATAGACCAAAGATTTAATGTTGAACCTTGTATATGCCCTCATATTGCCCAACCCTAGTCCGTGATAAAGTAATCATAGTCTGAAGCTCTGGAATAGCTAGCTACTTGGGGTTAAGGATTTCCGTACCACTGTTTCCAAGGTGAGGAATAATGTGGAACTTGTGTGTCTTTGTTCATTCAGGTGTTGAAATGAGGAAGATCACAGACTCCCACACGCCGTCGAGCCGCACAGTGAACACCACCCTCTACTACATCCTGTCCTCCACCACGGCTCCCCTGCTGGATCGAAGGCTGAGTGGCGAGGAGCGTGCTCGTCTCGAGTCCAGCCTCAACTACGCCGACCACTGCTTCAGCGGCCACGCCACCATGCACGCAGAGAACCTGTGGCCCGAGCGGGTGAGCAGCGCCGCTCAGATCCTGCAGCTGGTCACGCTGTGGACCCTGACCCTGCAGAAGAGAGGCTGCAAGGTGCTGGTGGCGGCCGGAGCCCACGGAGCCATGCAGGGTATGGTGCTCAGCTTTGGCGGCCTGCAGTTCACCGAGAACCACCTTCAGTTCCAGGCCGATCCGGACGTGCTGCACAACAGCTACGCCCTGAGAGGGATCCACTACAACCAGGACCTCATTAACCTGGCGGTGCTGCTGGACCTGGAGGGGAAGCCTTTTCTCCACGTGTCGGTGAAGCCGCAGGAGAAGCCGGTGAAGCTGTACGCCTGCGAGGCCGGCTGCCTCAACGAGCCCGTGGAGCTGACATCAGAGATCAAAGGTCACACCTTCCCGGTCATGGTGACCCAGCCCATCACGCCGCTGCTGTACATCTCCACAGACCTGCGCCACCTGCAGGACCTCCGCCACACCCTGCACCTCAAGGCCATTCTGGCTCACGAGGAGCACATGGCCAACAGGTACCCAGGCCTGCCCTTCCTCTTCTGGTTCAGTGTGGCCTCGCTCATAACGCTCTTCCACCTCTTCCTCTTCAAGCTCATATACAATGAGTACTGTGGCCCCGGCGCTAAGCCCCTCTTCCGGAGTAAGGTATAAACAGTAGTAATAAAACAACTGGAAACAAACAAACTGCAAACTGATCTGCTCTGCTCCGTAAATTTTTTT